CCAGGGTCCTGGGATCGAGCCCCGCATCGGGCTCCCTGCTCCGCGGGAAGCCTGCTTCTCCCTTACCCACTCCCCCTGCTTGTGTTCCCTCTCTCACTGTCTCTCTCTGTCAAATAAATACAATCTTAAAATAAATAAATTTAATCATATAGTACATGCTCTTTTCTGTCCTATTTATTTTGCTCAGCATAATGCTTTTGACAATCATCTGTGTAATTAAATGCTTCAGTAATTTATTCCATTTTATTATTGACTAATTTTTCACTATGAACAAACCACAACTTTATTACCCATTTGCATGTTGATAGCTATCCTCACTACTTCACTGTTTCTAGCTATCATCAAAGATATCATCAGAGATGTTTAGAATTTCTTCAAGTGTTTAATAGCCACTCATTTATCATCTGTTCAATCTTTTCTCCATTTTTGTAAATGCTCTGTATCAGCTTGAGGAAATTTTGTTCTATTCCTAACTTGTGTTCTATTCCTAGCTTGTTTTTCTTGAGTGGGCTTTGGTAGTTTGTATTCTTCAAACACTCTTTGATCTAAACTGCTTAATTTATTAGCATAAAATTGTTCGTATTAATCATCTATCTTTTTACTCTTTTTAGAATCTGTTAACAGTGGCATTTTCATTCCTAGTAGTTTGGATCTTTCCCATTTATTCTTGATCAGTCTTTGCAAAGACTCACCTTCTGGTTTCACTGGATTGCTCTATTGTTTGTCCGTTTTCTATTTCACTAATTTCTACTCTTACCTTTATTATTGTCTTTCTTTTACTTATTTTGGGTTTAATTTGCTCTTCCTTTTCTAATTCTCTAAGGTGAAAGCTTAAAAAATATCACTGATTTCAAATGTTTCTTTCCTAATATAAGAATTTAATGTTATAGGGCGCCTGGCTGGCTCAGTCGATAGAGCATGTGACTCTGGATTTTGAAGTCAAGAGTTCAAGCCCTGTGTTGGGCTCCACACTGGGCATGGGGTCTAATTAAAAAAAGAAAAAAAAAAAAGAATTCAATGTTTTGAAAATGTTATGAATTTCCCTCTAAATACTGCTCTGGCCGCATTCCACAATTCATTTAAATTATTCAGTTCAAAATACTTTCATGGGGATGCCTGGATAGCTCGGTCATTTAAGCATCTGCCTTCGGCTCAGGTCATGATCTCAGGGTTCTGGGATTGAGTCCCATGTTCGTCGGGCTCCCTGCTCGGTGGGGGAGTCTGCTTCTCCCTCTTCCTCTGCCCTCCCCACAGCTTGTGCTCTCTCTCTCGAATAAAATCTTTTTTTTTTTTAAAGATTTATTTATTTGACACAGAGAGAGTGAGCGAGCAAGAGAGAGCACAAGCACAAGCAGGGGGAACAGCATGCAGGGAGAAGCAGACTCCCCGCTGAGCAAGGAGCCGGTGGTGGGGATCAATCCCTGGACCCTGGGATCACGACCCGAGCCGGAGGCAGTCGCTTAAATCAAATGAGCCACCCAGGCGCCCCTCAAATAAAATCTTTAAAAAAAAAAAAAATTTCTGATTCTCCCAGTGATTTTCCTTTAACCATCTTTTTTTTTTCCTCTAATTTTGTTTTTCAATTTCTAACATTTAGGGATTTTGCCAGTATCTTTTTGGGGCTTTTTTCCCCTAATTTAATTCCAGTGGGGTCACTGAATATCCCAAGTATGATTTTAATTCTCTTAAATTTATTGAGACTTGTTTAATGGCTCAGAATATGCTCTATCTTGGTGAATGTTCCAGATGAGCAGAACATGTATTCTATTGTTATTAGGCACAGCACTCATAAATGTCAAATAGGTCAGGTTTATTGATAGTGGGTCTTCCACATGCTTAGTGATTTTCTGTATTTGTTCTATCAGTTTGTCAGGATAGAATGTCAAAGTCTCCAATTGTAATTGCGAATTTGCTGGTTTTTCCTCTTCTGTCACTTTTTTTTTTTTTTAAAGATTTTATTTATTTTTT